CAACAACACCAATGGCAGCAGTCAAGATGGTTTACAGGATACCCTCTTCTGCTCACTACCATTCACACTTGAAAAAAAACACTGATGAATGCCTTGTGTTTGGGTGAAAAGTGGTTAACTGATGAAAAATGTGTAAGATTCTGGGATTTTCCTTTGCAGGGTGTCACTTTGTGAATGTTAGTGAGCAGAAGAGGGTATCAAGTAGACCATCTTGACTGCTACTTGACAGTTTCAAAGGTATAATTTTTTGTTTGTGGTGCTATTTTTTGAATTCCCTTATGGAATGCTGATTGCTCTACCGTATAATATCGATTACTGCACTCTCATGCAGCGCTAACATTGCTTAGAACGTACATTCGAGTTGGAACACCTCAATAACATCCACATTTTATATTTTTCATTAATGGGGAAACTTTCACCCTCCCAATGTTTTTGAGCTACAATTACCACACTCCTTTACTTTTACCAATTCTAGTTGGAGCTGCTGGGAGTTGATGTCAAACACATTTAGAGAGCCACAAATTTCTCAGTTCTGATAAACTCAATTCAACAATGCTTGCTTAGAAATAGATCCTAGCAAGGCCTGGTATGGACAAAAATAGATGCTGGAATGATCCAACAGTACAATGGACTGTATTACTAATGACTGTAGGTAGTGGATCATATTTTCTAGTTGCACTCTCTTTGCAGCTAGAAAACTGCTATGCAGAAAATGAACATGGCCTACAATGTATCTACTTACATGGAATTTTGTGCCAGAATATTAATTTTTTTCCCTGGCACCAAACTGAATTGGTACAGTCCATTTTAGTGTATGGTAATTCTACCATTTAATGCTCATCTCATTTCCACTATATATAGGCCAGCCCTGGGACTGAGTTCATTGAGAGTTCCAAGTGAACGCACAGGATTGCATGCTGCTATCATAAGATCTATGCTTGTTTGTCAGCCATACTTTAACCTGACCCTTTTATCTCTGCATCTCTGCAAACAGAAACAACATATCTAAAAACATGAATCAGAAATCTACCAAATATGCATCAGTTTCTAAAACTGATGCCTGCAGCATCTGGTCAGCCAGTTTTATTTCTGTGATTCAAATGCAATGGCAGAATAGACTAAATAAATTAACATAAATTAGATCAGGAAGGAGGAGGTGACAAAGAAGGACCACAACAATGATGTCAACAACATTGTTAACAAATTGGACAGAAGTGGTCCTTCTGCACTACAGCTCAGAGGCAGATGGGTCTGTCTGTCATAATGACATAGCAAGTGTCCTGTTGGATCAGACCAGAAACCAATCTAGTTTGGCATCTTGTTTCCAATGTAGCCAACCAAAAGACCTATTGCAGGTGAACAAATAAGAAATGAAACCAATAGCTCCTGCTTTCTGTTATTCCCAGCAGCTGCTCTTTAGTTATATGGCTCCCCTCATTCTGAAGGCAGCATATAGTCCTGAGTAGTAGCCACTGATAGCTTTATGGCCCCTGAATATGGAAAATCGACCTACCTACTCTACCTACCTACATACCTATTTATTTATTTTATTTACTTATATCCCACCTTTCCCCTTGTATGGTTCAATACATCCCACAACACTCAAGTAAATATATATACCTTGTTCCCCCTAAAATAAGACCTAACCTGAAAATAAGCCCTAGTATGATTTTTCAGGATGCTTGTTATTTATAAGCCGTACTCCAAAAGTAAGCCCCAGTTAAGTGAAACCCCACCCTCCACCATTGTGCAGCAACTAGAAGATGACAGGACTGTCTGTATTTGAATAAATGTAGATGGTTGCACATGAAAAAAATTAAACATCCCCTGAAAATAAGCCCTAATACTTTTTTGAAGCAAAAATTAATATAAGACCCTGACTTATTTTCGGGGAAACACGATATATGGTTTTAATCCGGTAAGTTGTTGAATTTGTTTTTTTATATATATAAAACAAACTCAACAAGTTACCAGATTAAAACCCTATATATATATACACATAAAATCAAAACATTAAAAGCATAAAACCTGCACAGACAAAGATCCTCAGCCCCCAAACACTCTAATAAATATGCATGTTTTGATTTGGCTTGGCACTGAAATGAAAGGTGGGATATAAATAAAACCACCCATCTCCCATTCATTAGAAGGCCCTTCTAATCCAACACAAACTCCTAGACTGGGGGAGAGGGAGAGAGAGAGAGGAGAAAAAGTAGAAGTAGAAGAAGAAGAAGAAGGGAGGAAGTTTGGTTTACATTGAGGAAATTAGTACATTGAGTGCAGCAAATTCCTAGATGATAAGGAAGCCCTGCCACTAATACCAGCATTGGGTTGGTGCGGGAGCCAGTGTTAGTTCTCACCCTGTCCTATATGAACACAGAGTTGAGAAGGGGCATGTTACATATGACAACTAAACCAATTTGTACTCAAGTTTATCTATCACAGAAAACAGAGCCTTGTAGCCATTTCCTAGGTTGATGATGGAGATATAGCTTTTATGGTGCCGTGCACAACAGCTAAACTGCTAACAGAAACATCTTCTGAAGCCAACATGATACCAGCTGCCAATGCACTTCCAGTCTGAGTTCAAGGTGTTAAAGAGGAACTATAAAGCCTTAAATGGCTCAGGACCTGGCTATCCTGAAGGAGAGCTTTCCCCTATATAAACACACCCAATCCCAGTCACTAAAATCTGCTAGGGAGGCTTTCCTATGTGTCCCACTGCTGAGAGCTGTTCATTATCAGGAGACACAAGGGAGGGCGTTCCAGCTGTAGCAGCTCTACTGTGAAATGCCCTCCTCTTGTAGGCCCGACTGGCACCGACATTGGTATCATTTCAGTGCCAAGCCAAATCAAAACATGCTTATTTATTAGAGTCTTTGGGGGCTGAGGATCTTTGTCTGTGCAGGTTTTAATGCAATGCTTTTAATGCTTTTAATGTTTTGATTTTATTTGTACAAAACTGTTTAGTTTTTAAAAGTTTAAAGATTGGTGTTTTTAAAATTGTTTTACATGGCTCTGTAACCCAACCCAAAATCTTGTGATATTGGGCAGTATATAAATGTTTTAAATAAAATAAAATAAATCTGGAGTGCATACTATAACATAGTGAAATGTAGTGAAACAGGAATGGGCAGATGCAGAGTGGTGATACATTTCTACAGAACCTATCCTCCTGAAGGGCTTTTTGTAAATCCCCCACATACTGAAAACTTAAGTTTTTCTCTGGAAGGAACCATTCATACAAGGTGAGCAGAAGACAAATGGAAAAAAATAACCAGCAGCAGGCTCTACTTCAAGGATCCATCTTTTCTCTTGTCAAATAGTCCGGCCAAAGTAACCATCTTTTCTTTAAAGTAACATTAGAAAACCTAAGGTGGTAGTATTCTTCTTTCAAAGAGCACTCTGAAGATTTCATTCCAGTGGAGGATTGCAGAAAGCACACAGCAGGTGCCTCTCCTAAGTAAATCCCCACATTTCTTCAAACACATTTGGGAAGTTCAGAATGCTTCCTGACTACCATTTCCTTCCCTTTCATCCACAAAATCTCAAAGGCACTCTTTCTACTAATCAGGAGCAACTTGGGACCCAAGGTGTGTGTGTAGAGTGGGGAGAGGGCACACTTGGGGGCACTTTGCTTGAAAATATCAGGGAGGCTATGCTATCAGTGATGATAGGTATATGCACAGCCTATGGGAAACTCATGTGTAAAATTCATTTGCTATGAGCCTTGAAGCTGCTCATCAGCAGTTAAGCACTTGGATAGCAGACCAAGGCCTCCAGGTTGCAAACCTCATCACTATGAAATGAGGCATTGTATTTCTGTTTAAATTACGTTAGTAATTATTTCCATCTATGCCTATTAATTGGGATACAAAACTTGATGCAAATTAGTATTCAAGTGCTCTCTCTCTCTCTCTTTTTGGTGATGCACAGGTGGCTACCTAACTCCAACATCCTAATCAACAGCACCATCTACTCCCTAGTAAACCTTGTTCCTATCACAGAACCAAGAGAATTTGAAGTTGGTTCCTAGTTCCTTGTACTGAGGAATCTTTTTCAGTCAGACTATGGTGATCAGAGCCTAATAGGATCAAACTGCATCACTGCTGGTGAGAGTTAGTTTGGGATGACAACCTGCTAAAAAGTTGGGGGGAAGCCTGCCCTGCTTCTGTGTCCTTAGCAAAAGTTTTAAATGCAGAAATGAGCAGATGAAAGGCTTTCTGCAATAGGAGAGAAACATACATCACCACAAGCCGGCTTCTGCAGCCCAAACTGACGCTAAAGGGACAGGCACAGAAGCAGGTAGGAAAGTTGGCCACCTTTTGGGGTTAGCATATCTTTGGCTTCTGTTCTCAGCTGTCACAGAATGGAATGGTCCACCAAGTTCAGAGCTGAGGAGCCTGTGGCACAATAGATGCTGTTAGAGTCCAACCGCACATCAGCCATGGGGCTAATAATGGTGGAAGCTGTAGTCCAACAACATCTGGAGTGCTGTAATTTCACTACTCTGGATCTAGTCACAACTAGAAATATGGACCATCCTAGGTTCTGTCCAGAACTCTAGAGCAACAGGTGTGTTCTGGGCTTCCTCATGGATATTAGAGCATCCATATTGTACAGTGCACAATGGTGCTGGTTGGGGCTTATAGGTACATGGAGTGAGTCACAAAATGACTAGATAGGCGGGGTATAAATAAATAAATAAATAAATAAATAAATAAATAAATAAATAAATAAATAAATAAATAAATAAATAAATAAATAAATAAATAAAAATGAAAAACTTAAATGTAGTAGTCTAAACAGAAGAGCAAGAGAATTAGCAAAATTAAAGCTGAAAATTAAGGGAAGTAGTCTGCTAGACTAGGACATCCCTGAGAAGGATAGATCTTTTCAAGATCCCACTGTGATTTTGAGTTACTGGGGCTAGCCAAAGGTGAAGATTTTGCATACTGGAACAGTAGTTTAAAATATGCATGAACATGGGCACTCCATACCTCTTCCACCCAAACACCCGCCAATCATAGTACCTTCAGTAGGAGAGGTCTTGAGTCTCCTGCAGAGCCCATTGACATCAGTGTAGGTCTCTTGGACTTTCTGGATGGCCTCAGCTCCACGTAGCTCCATGAGGGAGCGCAGCTCTGCCAAGGTGCAGCCAAAGCCCCCTGCATGGTTGAGCTCTCGCCGCTGGTTCTTAGGGTAGAAATCCACTGAACTGTTGGCCATGTCTCCCATGGTGGAAACAAACCACAGCCAGGCTGGGCAACACTGGGCGGAGATGTGAAGACTGAAGAGCTGGTGTGGGCTAGATCAGCCAGGTAGACGGAAGGAAAAACCTGTGGGAGGGATGAGGGGGGGAAAGTACACAGTGGAGGAAGACGAAGGAACACCAGAAAATAAAGCAGATCTTTCCCTCCCGTGTTCTTTCCCCTTACCTGCTCAGTCACAGTGTTGTCCTATGTTCATTCTAGAGAGCCCCAGGGATGGGGCCACAAGGTGTTATAGAGGCCAGCCAGGGGACCAAGCCATGGAAGAGGCAGAGAAGAGATCCTTGTCAGAGCCTGGCACAACAGGTGTTCTCAATGCACACAGGAAACCTGCCAGAAAAGCAACAGGGGGTTACTTACTTACTCAGTTACTTATTTACTTGCTTCCTTACTTGTGATATATATATGTATATATGTATATATATGTATACGTATATGTATATGTATATATATACATATATATACATACACATATATATACATACATATATATGTATATATATGTATATATATGTATATATATATGTACAGTATATGTATATGTGTGTGTATATATATATGTATATATGTATATATGTATATATATGTATGTGTGTGTGTGTGTGTGTATTTATTTATTTATTTATGAAATGCATTACATAAATTATATATATCCATTCCCAGTTCATGGATCTCTATATCCCTAGGGCATAAGTAAATTTCAGCTCTCTATATATACATACAATGCATGCAAGTTTATATATGCATACAGTATATAACTGAACATTTGTCTTGCTGGTTCCATCATGTTTCTCATTGGTTCCAGATGTTCAGTTATATACTGTACTGTATACATATATAAAATAGCATACATTAATCTATTTTACAGATACAAGGCCCTAAATATTTTCTGTATCCAAAAACATAAATGTTTAGGGAAATAAGTTAAATGTCAGAAGGCTATAAACAAGTAGAGGGATGAGGACAGCAGAAAGAGCTGTGTCCATTTGAACACTTACTAGAAATACTTGGTTTCCAAAGTGAGCATCATCTTGTCTTCCAGAATATGGAAGGACCTGTAGATCATTTGAACTACAAACTCACACTGTATCATACCATTGGCTATGCTGGCAAGGGCCAATGAACCTTGTAGTCCCAAGCACCTTTTTTCCTACCCTTGATCTAGAAGGTGCATATACACAACCGAAGTCCCACATTGACCAAAAATTTTAGGTCAGCTGTTGCTTCTCCTCCTAATTAACACCAATAATGCCAGAGAGATGGGGGCAAAGGGAGGAATTTGGTTTAATTAGCTTGCCACAAGGGAGTGATGGTCACCCTTTTCTCACTCTCCTATGGAATCATGGCCTGGCATGGACAGGACCAGCCCCATCACTAGGCAGTGAAGCAGCCATCGGAGGCAATGGATTAGAATGTCATGAAAGGGCAGAAAATTGTTATTTAGTCAGGTGTTATTGTATTTTACTGCCAGAGATGGGACAGCATTTATGGGATTTTCTATCTGAAATATCAAAACACCTTGTCTGACTCTGGGTACTCTGCGCCTTTACTCTGCACCTAAAACACCCTGTAGTGCCTCCATCCAGAGCTAACAGAATACAGTGAAATGCTGAAGCCATTGATAGCCATGGGGAGATGATGCTGTGGATAGGATGTTTGCTGTTGTTACTGCAGGTAGTTCAATGTCCTAGGCAGCCACTGTACTGAAAAGCGCTTTATTTCTCAGTTGCTCCCACAACAAGGAGGAGAAAGCGATAAAGATGACAATTATTTCCCGCACCCCCCTCCCCACCAGAGCTCCTTGTGAAAAAGCAACACTGTACAATGCTGGGATAGATCAAACAGTGATGGGGTGTGGAGGAGCCTGGCGGTGGGTTTCTGTCTGCAGCTGAAGCCTTATACATGTAAACCTCCCAATAAATGTGTTAGGCAAAATAGCAAGCTATTCAAAGGAAGAAAGGAGCTGGCCAGGGTCCTGAAATAGACCATTCTGCGCACAGCCATGCTCGCTGCAGTTTCGGAAGAATTCAGACAGATGGGTGATCTGGTGACTGTGCTAGCAACTCTTCCTGGGTTGTTTGGTTCTGTGTCCATCATTCACATAAAATCACAGTATGTCACAGAGTGGCAGCTCGCCTCTGCCCAGAATTTTCAACAGGTACTATTTACCTGTATTTACACTTTTGACCTATAATATGACCCCTGCTTTAATAAGACTGTCTTAGAAAAAAAAACATTGGAGATCTACCTGTAGCTTTCTACTTATTTTAAATATGTAAATCCATTGCCACTTTGCTTATTGTTCAGTTTCCAAAGAAAGAGAGAGGAAAATATCAATGTTTCCTCTTAAATACCATGCTTCTATGTGCAAGAAGGCTTTCCCCACCACCCCTATAAGACAGCATTCAGACATGTAGTTCCTCACCTGAAAAATGAAGTGCTACAGTCCAGAAAAATGATTTATCCATGGATTCAGCTGAGTGTATAAACTAGATCTCATCTGTCACCAGTAACCACCACCACCACCACCACCACCTCTGGCATCTCCATCATCTCTCACATTATTGCCCCAGTGTGTTCTGATTAGCCCTTAAACAAAGAATTCTTGTCTCATTTTTAACAAGGAGAACCCCTGAACTCAGCAAGAATCTGTCAAAATGTTCTCTCTGTGTGTGCTTTCATTTCTGATCTGCAAAATCTGACACACAAAAATGTTCTCTTTTGTGGAGGATGAGCAGCTAGCAGTGGCGCTGCAATCAGCACAACTCTGAAGCCCTCTGAAACCCACTAGGCAAACCAAACCTTTCAACAACAACAAAAAAGTGTTTGCAGGAAACATGTTGATGGACAAGTGAGTCAAGACAGTTTCTAAACAGAGGCTTCTTTAGTCACTTGTTTCTTCCCAGCACTGGAACAAGATATTTTGCTGCCTGGAGCAAAGAACATGATTATGCCCCCCACCTCCATTCTGTATGCAAACATCAGCTCCACTGGCAATTGGGTAGCATCCTTGCCACCCCTGAGGGCATCAGGCCAGATCAGAAGGGTTCAGGAGAAAAATGTGTGGCAAATGCATTGTCCTGTCCTCTAGGATCAAGGGATCCCCCGTAGGATCAAGAGAATAGTTGCACAGCTGTCAGTATTTACTTATTATGCCTAATGGTAGAACCAGACTCCCTGCTTCCTAGTGAAATCAACTTAATTCAGTGTTGTATTTATGATATTCAAGCAAGAGCCAAAACATCTTTGCAAATAGTTTGGTGCTCTCAGCAAGGCCATGGATAAAGGTTTTTTGATCAAGACCACTTCATCACTGCCACCATCATCCCATGATAAATACCTTGAAAACTCATAAGTTGGAAGAGACCACTGAGGCCATCCAGTCCAACCCCCCTCCATGTAGGAACATTCAACAAAGCACTCCCAACAGATGGCCATCCAGCTTCTGCTTAAAAACCTCCAAAGAAGGAGACTCCACCACCTTTCGGGGCAACCTATTTCACTGCCGGACAGCGCTGACCATCACGAAGTTCTTCCTAATGTTCAGATGGAATCTCTTTTCCTATAGTTTGAAACCACTGCTCCGTGTCCTAGTCTCTGGAGCCCTAGAAACAAAACCTGTCCCCTATTCAACATGACATCCTTTCAAATATTTCAACATAGCCATCATGCCCCCTCTCAACCTTCTTTTTGTAAGGCTAAACATTCCCAACTCCATAAGCCACTTCTTGAAGGACATGGCTTCCAAACCTTTAACCATTTTAGTCACTCTCCTCTGGACACATTCCAGGTTGTCAACATCCTTCTTGAATTGAGGTGCCCAGAACTGGACACAATTCTCCAGGTGAGGTCTGACCAAAGCAGAAAAGAGTGGCACTATCACTTCCCTTGATCTAGACGCTATACTCCTATTGATGCAACCAAGATTTGCACTGGCTTTCTTGGCAGCCGCATCACCCTGCTGACTCATGTTCAGCTTGTGGTCTACCAAGACTCCTAGATCCCTTTCACAAACTCAAGTGTTTGTGGCTTGCACAATGATGTAGAGTCAGTGTGAGGTGGGGTAATTGTCAGATTTCCCAATTTTTTCATAAAATGACTGAAATATTATCCTTGGTACGTCCACATCTTAAAGGCGTGGGCATACCAATCCACCTGCTGTTTAAGTCTTTCCTTGTGACCTTTCCCCAAGATGCTCTGCAGGGGTAAAAGCATGGCAGAGGCTTAATTCAGCTGCGGTGAAACAGAGTATCAACACACATAATAAGCAATCTGAACTAGCAAACAAACAAATAAATATGCAAATAAATGGTCTGGTGTTTTCCCCTCACAGGTTACCTGACCAAACTTTATAGAATCCAGCTCTAGGATCTTGGGTTAAAATGTTTAGCGATCTTTTTAACTTCTGCACTTAGATAATAAACAATCTCTGAATCTTAGAATGGCGGAGCTGCAAGGGACCCTACAGATCACTGAATCCAGTCCCTGTTAGGATTAAACTCTGGCTCCTCAGCCAGATACCTAAACCCCTGAGTGGTTCCAGTAGTTCATTAACCCAACAACATTTTAGCGTATTTGTCAGAATGATCATTGTCTTCAGTAGTTACAATGCCAGCACTAGGCTATTGCTACCTACCAATAAAATCCTAAAAAATTGAATACTGGTGTTCCACAATGGGAGAAACAGCACAGAGTATATAATAAAGCCTCCTGGGACTTCGGCTGTCTGAGATTTTCAAAGCAACCTTGCAGTCCTTACAATTGTAAACATATGTTCAAAGGTATGGGCACACACATGAAAAAGGAGGAGGAGTGCGGGGAAAAGGGTAAAAATTGAATATAATTGCAAGTAGCAAGAAGGTGGGGCTTCAGTCCCTTACTCAGAGATCTACAGTATGCTCCTCTCCATGACTACCAATTGCAGATATAAATTATGAGTCATTTTATAAAGTATGTGAATGTGCTTGATGCATTACAGTATGCAAACATCAGCTTTTCTCTATCAAGAATGGAGGTTCTCTGGGTGCAGAATTTTGATTATCATAGTTCTCCTAGGCTGGTCATGCTTCCACTCAGATTGCTCCTCACTTTGCTTGCTTTTTTTTCTTAGTTGGAATGAATGGGAATGTTGAATCTTTAGGAATGCTTTGTATCCAGCTCAGCCCCAGATGGATGGGAGTGCTTCCTGCAGTTGCTAAGAAACCATGCCAGCTTTGCCTCTCCTGTGGTTGTTTCTTCCAGAGACAGAAAAACAACAATTACCCATTGGCATGTTTGTTGATTTCCCCAAAATCTGAATCAGCCTTCTTACATGGGTTAACCATGAACCC